GACTTTTTAAAATGTGTCTGGTGGTCCAGAAAGTATTTTTTTCATTTTCTGAGCTCAACAGTGACATTTATGTTGCACATCTGGACCAAGAGTTGAGAAATCTGGGCTTGAGGTTTATTCTGCTACTTGGTCACTTATTCAATCCCCAAGAGACAAAGTGTGATTGCTTGCACTTGGACCCTGTGCTTCCTGCTTTAGAAAGACCGCTGGTTCTTCAGGACAATCAAGGCATCCTTTTTCTCTGATGCAATTATGTCTCCTTCCATCTATAATAATAAGCCAGAATACTAGTCACAATTTTTCTACAGGGATGCCTGAGGTTGTTAGAGGGTGGAAATACATTCCCCTCGAGAGAATATGAGCAGGGTTTAACTCTTTCTTCTGCAAGTCCTCCCACTCGCTGTGAGGGCTGTCTGATAGCCATCCTGCCATAGTTGACTTGCCTTGTGGAAACACGAATCCTTTCATGTTCCTCGGTTCTTTTTGGGCTTTACCTCCTACGAATCATCCTTTGAGAGAAGAGTGCAACAGTGGCTTTCTATGTCCCATGGAACTTCCCACAGCCCCACCATGGGCTCCAACCTTCCTGCTTTCTTCATTGCAATATTCCTTCTCTTCTGTATTTTAATGGAAAAAGTAATCATTTTTAGATGTGGAAGTGCTTGATTTTGTCATGTAATACTTGGGATCATGTCTCTATCATCCTCTTTTCTGAAAAATATTTTCCAGTGAAGGTCTAGAGTTAATCAGTAATATCAGCAACTGGCAATGGAATCAACACATACTATAAAGCAGGGACATGAAAAACAGTCCCATGTATGGTTCAGTTGCTAAACTGGGGCTGTATATATAGATTGTCTCATTTGAATGTCAAAACAGGCCAAAGAGTCACATGTGTTTAAATGTCCCCAAATACAAATTTTTTGTCTATAGATCATCTCTATATCCTTCCTATCTCTTTGACACTACTATACAGGCTTTCAAAAATCACAAGAGATATGCAGACAAGCAGGCCCTAACATGGTCAACTGCAGCATCTGTGAAGAGGCAGTTAGTTCGGGTTTGAAAGGTGTAATATCAGTAACCCAAGCATAGTGAGTTGATTTGGATGCTAAGAGAGGATTTAGTCTTTAAAAAAGTTCACCTTGAAATGAGCAAGCTTTCAAGGACAAGTGAAAGTAAATTCTCAATGATGCCCCAAGGCTCAGAAAACAAAGAAAATCTTTATAGTCTTAGGTGCCTTGGACAATAACAAAAGATGAAGAGCAGCTCTGTGGCATCTTTCAGATGGCAAAGGTTTGAGGAGTTCAGGCTGTGTTTGGTAGCACTATTGCAAGTGCAGTTGACTTCTAAGACCCTGAACGAATTTCTTCTCTTGCCCTCAAAGAATTGGATCTACAGGTTCTCACAGGTGGAGTAGCCTGTTTCTCTTCAAACAGATGTTATAACATGACCTTTACCATAGCTTCTCTTGGTCAGCACAATGCAGTAGAACTCCATCTTGGCAGGAATTTAGAGAGGAGAAAGCTGATTTGCCTAAGGATCTTCTTCAGATACTGCTTTCTTGCACTATAAAGTCCAAAACTATAAAGTTTAAAACACTGAAACCAAACTCAAAGTCCTCATTCAACCCTTCCCTGGGGACGATGGGATCATTAACATTTTGATGGAAAGTTTTCGTTCGCACTTTTTCAGTGTTCAACTCTCAACTGGTTCTAAGCTGAGAAACATCCCTGTTGGTAGAGCTGCCTGTAGGATGAAATAAGATATTTCTCATCCTCATTGACATAGGTTGAAGGGTCCTTCGACATTTATGGGACTTGTAACACCAGATTTATTATGGCAGAAACTGGTTTTCTAATCTCTGAATTTCTGTTGCACAGTTCTCCATATATGGTGGTGCTTAATAAATCTTGTCAAATGAATAAACAAATGAATTTTTCTTTATTACAATCTCATTAGAGTACCATGGAATTATGAAAATGGTTTTGGCAAATTTTGAGTAGATCTTGTTATATTAGTTTTTTCTACAAGTAATTACTTTCTTACAGTGTCTGGAATTGCCTTAAAATAGGACAAGGATGCATAGTTGTTGATTAATTAGTTTGTTTTGATCTTTATTCTTTGCAGGTCTCTTGTTATGTTTTCATGAAACTAGGAGTTTGTAGTATCAGTGTCATGTCTAATAAGTCTGAATTATCTGTTCTAAGAACCAATATAGAACTTCCTTAATTTGGTATATATGCTGGCCTTGAACACATGGTGACCCTATAGCCTCAGTCTCCCTAGTGCTGGGATTATAGGCATGCACCACTGCTGCCAGCCCTTCAACATTTCTTTCTTAAACTTTTGGTGTTTGCTAGTGTGCTAATATTTGATGGTTAAAACTCACACTTGATCTCAAATAGTTTTTTCTCAGCCTACAAGATTACCATTTGCCTAACATTAATAAGTTGATTTATTTCATTCATTTTTATCTTGTTAAAATATGACTTCTTAATTTGGGGGTGGAGCTAGGAAATCAAATCCAGGGCCTTGCAAGAGCTCTACCACTGAGCTATATCCTGAGGTCTGAATTACTTAATATATTAATTTTTGGGGTGCTGAGGATAGAACCCAGGACCTCATACGTTCTAGACAATGGCTCTACCACTGAGCTACATCCCTGCCCCACCTCTTAAATTTTTTATGCCATATAACATGCAGAATCCAGGTATATACCAGTATAAGAGGATCAGTTTTACCTGAGAAAATCATTCCTAGTTTTTATGATATATTTTTTGTCAATATTTTCCTAGGTTTTGGCTCAAACTGCAATGATATCTTGGACAAGCTGTGGAACTGCCAGTCCATGCTATAAGCCTGAGGCTTGCTGTTGGATTGTGTTCTGCTGGATTCACTCATCATGTGGTTTCTTTATCTGAAAAGAGAAATTCCATGGAAATGCATGCTGTTTCTTCCCATTGCTTGTGTTGAATCCCAGAACTGGAGTTTGTGCCTCTTCAGTACCAGACAAATGGTAAGCAGGCAACTTGAGTATGTTTGGTTTGTTTTTCTAGAATATAGTTTTTGAGAAAAAAATAATGTCAAAGCAGAATTATTCCAAAGGATAATTTTTTCTTTTGTTTTCTTAGATGAGAAAAAACAGTTCCTAATGTTCTGATCATTCATCCATTCATTCATTCATTCATGAGCTAAGTATTTGGTTTGTGTCCACATTGATGAAGAGAACTCATTAGATGCTGGAAAATCAACACAAACCCAATTCCTGCTATCTTAACCTTATTAATTATCAGGGAAGCTAAATTTCCTACCTATAGTTTAAGAAGTGTTACAAGCTCCCATTTTTGGCAGGTTATTAAAATAATGTTAAGTAGTTTATCTAATTTTAGGTCTATAGTAAACATTTTCAGCATGGGAATGAAAGGATCTTACTCTTGAACAAGAACCCCGCTGAAGTCCTGAAATAAGGATCTATTTGCAAAACACGGATGTTGTTGGACTCCACAATAATATTAGTATGTTAGAAAGAACAATTGGTGTACATGTGTAGAGTTTGATCTGTGTCCCCTTTTTGTTTGTTTGTTTCCAATAACTTGAATACATAAAGAACAGCAAGGGAAGATGAAAAGCAGATAGCTAGCACAGTGATTTCTGGTTAAAAGAGCCTGGGAAGATTAGAGCCAAGCCCCAAGCCCCTAGGAAAAGGTACATGTTTTCTTAGGTTACAGCCCAGTGGCAGTAGTGAAGACATATTAAGGGGAGTGGGGAATGAGGACCAAATGGCCCATGCCCTTTGCCTTCCAGTTGCTGAAAGCTCATGTGGAAAACTAGAGGGTAGGGGCTTCTTGTCCGGTATGTATGATGACGCTTGCATACTTCCTGCCTTGGACTTCGGGGTCAACACCCACCCATTCATGGGACCCTCCATGTCAAACTTCTTTCTGTCATCTACAATGCCAGCGTTTGTTTGGAGATTTCAGGTTTTGGGGTAGGCTTCTAAAGTCAGGGGTCAATCCTTCATGAGTACTGTATTCTTAGCCTTTTGTACAAGATTCACTGGTGTGTGAATTAAAAGGAACAAATCTGTGAAGAATTTTCTCCAACACAGGGCAGGACATTGATGAAACCATCAACTAGATGATTGCTATAGTGACTACAGCTCTTTACAAAACTGTGAGGGAGAACTTTGATGGCAGTGGCATATAGATTCTTGCTTAGACCACTTTGATCCTCTTGATGGTCACCATGGCAACCAGCCATGGCTTAGGATCATGGAAGGAGTGTGAGAGTAATGCTATAGTGTTGTCATTTAGTGACTGCAGCCCAACCAGAAGTCTTTCCCATCAGAGTTTTCAGAGAGTAGCAACATCTCCTAAGAGGCCACAGAAAGGCTTGTGCCCTATACTGACACTTGTACAGGACAGAGCCCTCCATGTGTCTGCTTGCACTTCAGAAAATCTCACAATTATACGTAGGGTCAGTGCTTCCATTGGCAAAATCTGGTGGAGTAAGATTGGATGAGTTTGGAAAGTTTGCCTAGTTGCATATATCTTGCATGTATTACTCTTTGTTCTGGGTCCCAAATGTAATGCAGCAAAGAAGCATGTTTCACACTAACAGCAGACATTCTCTCCTGCTGGATAAACTGAGGATTCCTTCCCACACAACACAGAGTGCCAGTATTTGGCTTTCATTTCTGGGTCCCAGAGTGCAAATGGCAGAGTGGTGTCATGAAAGGAGAGCAGGGCAGAGAGGAAGGCAGCAGCCAGGAGCTCTGAGTTCTGGCTCTCCACGGTGTCATGGAGTGGCCCCAGGTAAGTCACTGTACCTGAGTCTAAGATTTCTCATTGCTAAGATTAAAAACTTGGAGGGCTGGGGATTTAGCTCAGTGGTTCCGCTGCCTGTCTTGCAAGTGAAAGGTCCCAAGTTTGATCCCTGGTACCAAAAAATAATAAAAACTTGGAAGACATGATTTCTGCATGCCCTCTTGTTTCTAATTTTTGCTTTGCAAGGTTATTTTGCATTTAAATAACACAGGGAGCAACATGAGTTGGAATCTCATTTTTTTTTATAGTTGGAACCTCATTTTGAAGACGCTGAACTTGGATCCTGCCCAGAGGGCCACTCCACTGCTAGTAAATTTCATTATCTTTGGCTACATAAATTGGTTAACTATTTTAATTTTTGTGTTTGTGGGATGTGTGTGTGTGTGTGTGTGTGTGTGTGGTTTCTCCCCACCAGTTTATAATACATGTGAAATGCTGTAATAGGGATTATCAATGCCTTTTACAGATAGGGAAACTAAGACACAATACTGGACAATGGCAGAGCAAGTGAAGTCCCTTTGAGAATTTTTAAATTTTTTTTCTGGCTCTTCCTTAAGAAAATAAGTTTTAAATTCTTCATTTTGGAGACTTAATGGCTATCTTGTACCTTCCCTCATGTTTGCTCGGTCAGCAGCCTCATTAGTATGCAACGTGTTCTTGTTGAGAAAATTATTTCTTTGCTTTAGAAAACAGTTAATTCCTGGAATATTTTACACGGGGTGGGGGTGGGGATTTGAGGAAGAACTTAAACTATATTCTCTGCTTACCAAACCAAAACCCCAACCAGTCAACCAAAGAAACAAACAGCGCGGCTCATCAGTAATCTCTCCCTGTACTGGTCCAGTCATGACTGAAAGTAGGAACAGCAGATAGAGGTGTATCCTAGAGGAGACTAGTGGTACCACTTATACAGTGTCGAGTCATGCAAACCATGCTGAGAAGGAAGCGGCTTCGTTGCGGTGACCGGGGAGGAAGGCTGAGAACCCGCGTTGGCCGGGCCCTGCGCACGCGCATGCACTCAATGCAGCTACTGGCATCCCCGCCCGACGGACGCGCAGGCCGGGGGTCAGGGAGCTGTTCAAAGTCTGTGTCCATCGCAGGGAGTCAGCCAGTGACCCCTGTTAAGTGGGCTTGTTGGAAGGGGTCCATATGGAATCTGAAATCCCGTCCCCCGTGGACGACAGAGGCATGGACCCGCTGGGCGTGAAGGGGTCTGTGTCTGTGTCTGTCTCACCCTCGGCGAGGTAGCGCTTCTCTCTCATCCAGCTGGAGCCTCCACCGGGGCCGAACGCGTAATCGTCCCTGTCCTGAGAGATGCTGAAGCCACTCGGGGACCGCTCCAGCTCCTCGTGGTTGACCGACATCAGGGACAGAGGCGTGTCGCTGTCCCGCGTGAGGCTGCGTCTCTGCCGCGGCGAGACGTGTTCCGAGTAGGGGCCGTGCGGCTCAGCCTGGGAGTGGAAGCTCACTGGGGAGTCCAGCAGGGTCAGGATGGGCAGGACGGTGGGCCTTTCTGCATATGAGCTTGCCGAGGAGGGAAGGGCGGCCTGGGCCTTGGCAGAACTGGGCTCCCCTCTGGGCAGGTTCACGGGGTCGTGTGCAAAGAACCCGTAGGGGCCAACCTTGTCGAGGGGCACCTGGTGGAAGCTGTAGGGAGGGTCACGGGGCCCTGGTTCGGAATAGTTGCAGAGGATGGTTTTCAAGTCGGAATACCTGCAGTCCCCCTTCTCCCCTGTAGCGGGCGAGCAAGTCCCCTTGGCGGGGTAGTACTCAGAGACCTGGACCTGCAGCCGCTCCATGTGCTGCATGTGCATGTCCACCAGGAAGTCCAACTTCTTCCCCATGTCATGCACCTGGAACAGACAAGGATTGGGAATCATTGCTCCCTGGTGGAGTGTGGGGTGTTGGTACTGGTTAGGAGGAAATACTACAGCTATTTAGTGTTAGAACAGGAGAAGCCTTGCATGTCTTAATAACAACAGCAACTAATAATTTATTTTTTGCCTCCTACTAGCAAGGCCGGCATACACAAGGGCTGATCAAAATATAGTGAATATTTCAATTTTTTTAAAAAGACAATTTGTTATGGTAAAAGATACAGTGCCATTCATCCCCGTCAAAACACTCCTCCCACTTTGAACACACTTATCCCATTGTTCTTGCTATTTTCTGAAGCAGTGCTGGAAATTCTCTTTCATGAGTGCCTTTAGTTGTGCCAGTGTGGCTGCCTTGATGTTCTGAATTGATTCAAAATATGTATCTTTCGTGGTCACTTTGGCTTCAGGTAGAGCCAGAAGGTCACATGGTGCCAGATTTGGTGAATAAGGTGAAAGAGGACACTTTCGAGTTTTTATGAACCTTCCTTTCCATTGGATGGCCCACAGCAGCAGGAGTCACTGTTGTTTCTTTTTTTTTATCATGCTTCATAAAGTACACCAAAGAGGACCTCGAGAATTGCTTCAGAAGTGTCAAAATGATGGAATAAGCGTCAGAATTGGGGGGGGGGCATTTCAAAGGGGATTACAAGCAATGTGTCTCCTACTGTGATAGATTTAAAACATGTGAACACTACCGTATACTTTGGCCACTCCCTGTGTATTACTGGCAATCTAGAAACAACCTAAGCAAAGGCTTTCTGGGAGGCAAAGGTTGGCAGTGACATGGTTTGAAGGTGAGTGTTACAGGCCTTCTCGTCCACCGGAGTAGAAGGTGCCCTTGCCGACACTCCTCTCTCCAGTCAGGGAACACTTCCTCAGGGGCCTGTGATTGTTAGTGTGTTTTTCCTACGTGAGGACATTAGCCTTGGACATGCAGGGCCATGGTGAGCCAGAGGGGGCTTCTGGGAACTGCAGCCCCCGTGTGCACCCTTAGGTAGTGGCGGAAGCTGACCAGATCTTGACTGCCTAAAGGAGGAATTTCTCTGGACTTTTGTGAGTGCATTGCACAAGTGTGAGTTCCGTGTGCATGTGTGTGAGGTAATATTTCTCTGACAATTCATAGTTCACTGAGAAACAGTGCAATCAGGGAAGGGACCCATCTTACCTGGCAGATGCTGTTGTAAAGCACTGGACCAGGTGATGTCCCAGAAGGTGTCTAAACCATAATACTAACTAATACTCAGCCGCTACTAAGTATCTGACTCTGTTATGCAATACGCTAACTCACGATTTTCTCAACCCCAGGAGGTGGGTATTATCGTTATCTCTGTTTCACAGGAGCACAAACAGTGGCACCGGGAGGTGAAGTAACTTGTCAAAGGTCATGAGTTAGTAAGTGGGAGAACTGAGATGATGAATTAAAATTTTAAAATGAGAGACAGTATTTTTGTTATATCAAAATAGAATAACCATTCAAATGTTCTCTCATCTCCCCTGCATGGATTCAATTTTGGTTCATGAATAAAATAAAAGGATGGGTATGAATCCTAGAGGACACTGGCAGTGCCATTCATCTAGTGCAAAATCAGGCAGAAGATGCTGGAATATAAGCTGCTTTACGGCAGACAGAAGAGGTGAGTCAGGAGGGGTGCTGTGAGAGAGTGGGTCCCTCTGTCCACCATGAATGAACTTCAGCCATCACCAGCCCTCCTCCAGGCCACTTCACAGAGGCCAGCAGCTGATAGGGACCTGCTAAGAAGGACTAAGGACATGTCAAGTGGGGGACATCAAACTAACAACTTTTAAGGGACCACCATGGAGAATCTGATCAGTGGTGACCATCTGTTGACCGTTCACTGCATCAGTTAACATTCTAGGTGATTCACCTATATCAACTCCTTTAATTTTCACCACTTTATGAAATATTAAAATCCCCATATTGCAGATGAGGAAAATTGAGGCTCAGAACAATTAATTGCAGGCTAACTGGGATTTAATGCCCATATGCTTTTATGAGGGGTAAGCAGTATTTCTCAAGTATCATTTCTCTCTGTGAACAAATGGCACTTGGAAACAAATTCTGGGCATTTGCTTCCTGGTGCAGGAGAGGAAAGACCTACCTGTCTTTCCACTTTGACAAACTTTCCCATCATGCTTTGGTCTTCCATTTCTGCCGTGGACGTTCTGGCTACAAATGGTTCATTCCTAAGAAAAAGCCAACAATTCTTATGAGATCACTGTATCTGCTTTTGCTTTCCAAGGTCATTTTGGGTGGGTAGATCATAGCCCACAGATCCATCATGGAAATGGCCCACTCAATGCTGGCCACAAGGAGTCAGGGATAGCCCACCTCTTCCGGGCTTCAGCACTGTAGATTTCACGCTTACCTCCTCCACTGTAGGACATTTGGAGCCAACTAGGGAGCTATGATTAAGGAGGGTATTTTAAAAATACTTTTGTAAGACAGGGTCTCACTAAGTTGCCCCAGCTGAGCTTGAATTTATGATTCTCCTGCCTTAGCATCCTCTAATAGCTGGGATTGTAGGCAAGCGCCACTGTGCCTGCATAAGGAGACTTCGATTTGTATCAAAGTTAACAAAGCACCTAACAGTGCCAAGAGTGTTTAATTCCTTTAAATTAAATTATTTTGGCTGTCAATTCCTGACTGAAAGAGAACTTCAGTACTGAGTGCGTTTGTGAGAGTGGGCAAGGAGTTGTATGATCTCTGAAATTCTATGCAGTACACATATTTCATCCAGCTCATTTTATTAAGAATGGAAAAGAAAGGTTGAATATGCAAATGATGCTAATAATGATGCTGGTGGGAATGGGGCTCAAATGAGTGCTGCATCTTCTCTTGGGCTAGGCATAATTAATAGCTGCCTAAATTCCCGTTAGTTTGTATACTTTTATATTTTATTCATTTGAGAAGCTTTAGGGAGCCTCATTATTACTCAAAACCATTCAGCATGAGTACTTTCTTGGTAGTTGATTGTTCTGTCTCATAAACCGTTGGTCCTATTCTGTCTCCTGTCTGTCTTTGGCTGCTGATCTTGAAAGAAAGCAAATGTCAAAAACTAGTGGTCCATGTGCTACTTGTAGTACACCAGTATTTTCTTCATCCTGCATAGGTTTTGAAAGATCTCAAAATGCCATCTCAAAAAATGGAGAATGGTACAAAATATCTGGATACTCAGGTTTCTTAAACAATTGGACTCTCTGGACACAAGATGCTCCTTCCTAAGATCAACAAGAACAGAATGGAGAAACAGTTGCATCCTTTAGCTGGGGCATGCACCTTCCAGGCCCCCATGGCCCCTCAATCCCTGTCCCATTCCTAAAGCTGGAGCTGAAGGGCAGAGACCTTTTATCATCATGTATGTGCTCTTGCTTCTTTTATAAGAGGGAGGTGTATAATGTTCCATAAGCCAGACTCTCACTTATTTATCTTGTTGCTTCAAAGATATTTGGGAATGAAGAGATACAATCATAAGCAGTAGACTCTCCAAAGGGTGCTTCCTTGTTCAAAATTATGAGACATTTTTTGGAGGCAAAGAGCTCTCTGGATTCCAGCAATGTCAGGCATGTGAAATCTGCTTGCTTTCTCTGGCTATGTCCTAGGAGCTGAATCAGTCAACAAAACCAGCTGACCAAGACTGCCACGGAGTCTGCTAACATAATGTATTCTTCCTATCTCAACAAAACTCATGAGTCTCCTCTTTCTTTACAATGAGAAAAATGGTGTAACTTTTTTATTTTCAAAAACCACCCTGGTCTAGGAAGAGGGTGGGAAGTCTTTTGTACAGAAATCTTTCAAGGCCCACAAAGTGAAACAGGCTTAAAACGCTCTCCTCGTTTTATTTAGTAGAGTGACAATTTCATGTACGTCAAGAACCTGGGTGACATTTGGGGGTGGAGACCCTCCATAGGCTTTGTGCTCTGCTCAAAAGCCCCACCTGGGAGACTGCTGGGATGGGTAGGTGAATGCTGCCCCTTTCTGAGACTTCTTGTGTTTTGGAGTAGATGGAGGTCCAGGGGCGAAAATCATATCTATTCTGAAAAAAACAAACAAAAGGAGTATTAAATTGCATAAAATCTTGCCTAGCAGGAAAACAAACCATTCTATTCCCTCTTAATTCAGATGCAGGGTTGGAATACCTGAAAGAAAGGAAGAGAGACAGATTATATACATAAAT